TCACAGAAAGAAGTGTGGTAATTTAAGCTCGAGGGATGCCCTCTTCCATAGTTGAAACGTGCACCAGCTTGAGAAAGTCGCTCAGCAGTTGATCAACAAGGTCATTGATTTTGCAGATAATACTTTTTCTTGATCTCTGTCTTTGTGATGGAGTATTTGCCTTCCGCCAGACTCATAGGAGAAGTACCGCTCTGCCCGTCTCACTGCCGCATTCCTCAGAAACCAACTAGTACACAAAATTGTTCCCCACAAGGTTTCTTCTGCGGTTATGATCTGTCGTGGCACTTTCGAGATGATGTCCCCATATGATAATATGGTCACCTTTAATATTTAATCCGTGGTTTGTAGAAGAAAAAAAAGAGAGAATCATCAGTTCAGCGAGAGGCCATGCCTGGAACGGGATCTAGCGAATTCGTCCACCAGTCACAGTGGAAAGGCTCTGGAGAGGTTCTAAGGGTTGCACAAGCATACCAGAATGTTGTGCGTCCCACAAGGTTGTTGTTAGCCACACGGGAAACTAACATCCTTAAACCACCAACACTTTTGACCCTTCTCTGGTCAAGATTGGAAATGACCTGCGAGGCAGAAAAGAACCGATTGATGCGGGCCTGCTTTTGGCAAAGGTCGCCAGCCATTTTGCCCAACAGGCCCACCCGCAAAGAACATGGTGCGTGCACAGCCACGTCTTTGAAACATGGTTGGGAAACGTACTGGTGGTGTAATGATATACATGTCCATCAATTGTTCTTTTTTTTTATATATATTTTTTAAAGAACGGCCCTTGCGATATCCCTCTATCCTGACGGTGGTAAGAGAATTTTTGGAATCGAGGGCTTACCTGTTGGGCTGCTCCATCTATTGGTGGGGAGCGGCACCTGCTGGAAACCGGGTCCAGCGTCCCATTGATACATCGTATAGCACTGAGATTGGTGTTTGTTGTTGTTTCCTAGGGCTGTGGTTATTACTGACTCATCCTGAGGCTCCATCATCCCATGGAGCTGCTAGTATCACCCTTCCCTTTTTAAGGAGCACCCCTTGTCTATTAACCCAGCCCTTATTTCAGCAGCCCCCCTGTTTGGTTGTTAGTACTATGTCCGCACCCTGTATACAATACGTCATTGTCATCAAGGAAATTTGGATCGGATAGAGGGAGTGACTTAGAAGTCCGCCCACAGGCTGGCACAGGTGTGCATACTGGAATGCCTAACATTTTCATCCGTCCTTCTCCTCCTTTGTCATACCCGCTGGACCTGGGCTTTGCCGCATTTGTAGTGAAGAGTCTCTGCGACCATGTGACCCTGCAGGCTCACAGGCGTCGGATCCTCCTTCTGGCACCTTTTATGTGCGTAGCAGCTCTGTGGCCCGGTGTGCATATCGTGCTTGAGTCTTGTCACTGTCGACGAGATTGCGGCCTGTGGATGTCGCCCACCGCAGAATGACTGTCTGGGACCTTCTGCTCGTCGGCTGTCGTAAGTGAAGGCTTGTGGGACTGCCGTACCCTTATGTAGACCTCATCCTGTCATACCTGTTGGAGGTATGGGGGCCGGGGTGGGGGAAGTGGATCGGGGAGGAAGGGAGGACGTGGGTGGGGAGATTTGGGGACGGGCGGTGGTGCTTGAAGGGGGGGTGCGGGTGGTGGTGGCGGATTCGGCAGGAGGATGAAGTTAGTTGGTAGGTAAGAGATTTGAAAGTCCGTCAGGGGTTTCCTGGTCCAGGTGTGCTCCGTGCTCCTCCAAGGCTTCCAAGTGATATTCAGTTCGGGATCTACCTCACTGAAGAGCTTGAGAGGGTCGTGCCACGTTGAAAGTAGGTTTCCCTAATGGTCAGTCTGGCCTGCGGCTCTTTCTAATTTGCATAGTGATGTTTCATGTCTTCCATGCTTCGTGTGTCTGGGCTCTGATCACGTCTTCCAAGGTTTTCTGGGCCTGCTGCATCAAAACTAAGGGAAGCCAGCAGTCGGTTGGGGCAAGGATTCCAATTTCCCTTAGGCTAAAAGATGGATGGCCATAATAATATGCTGCATAGCCAAAAGCTGTGGCTAAAACCTGGTTCCAGCACAATAGCATATTATTATGGGAAGCTCTGAAACCAATCCCGCACGACATACTATTATGGGGAGCTCCGCAACCAACCCTGAATGAAGATTGATTTTCTTGCAGTTCTTTTCGTATTTGTCTTTAGAATCTCTTTAGGTCTGGTTTTATTCATAAAGAAGGGTTTGATTTAGTGTCAAAACATTACATACTTGCGGATGTGTTTACTATCATAGGTACGCAGGATATAAGCTTCGAAGAAGTGGTAGGTTAAAGCAACGGAATCATGATGGAATCATGATTCGCATATTTGGGGTTTTAATCCCTATTCCGCCAGTTGGCAGCAGAAAATAACTCTAAATAAGTTATGGTAACGGGCTTGGTTTCTCATTTCTTTGTTCTTGCAGTGTAACCTCTGTAAATTCGTAAATCATAGAACAACCTAGGCTACTAGTAGCGCCGTTGGGGTGGACTTATTTGCTCGGGCGCCCCGATTGTGCAAGGGCCAAAGTAGGTTCCAGCAAAAAAAAAAAAAAAAAAAAAACGAAAAAATCCGAAAAACAAGTATGTTATGCGAAAAAATAAACTGAACAACTTTTGCCTTAGGGTGACATCGAAATTCTTTACCAAATAAGCGAATACAAAAAAGTTTTAAAATATATTTTTCATTTTTTTATTTATATTTATTTTTGGCCTGACCGCGCAAGTGGTCTGAGGCCACTTTGGTAGTCTAGAGAACGACTGAATAAAGAAATTCCATAAGGAAAAGATACCTAAAATGAAATATTTAGTCATTGGCCTCATGTACCTTCCTGGGCAAGCTTGGTGACCGCCACCTAGAGATATGCCGTTGGTCCCCCCGAGTGGCATTGAGCAGAGACTGCTGATGTTCATAGGGGGAGGGGACCGGAGGGGAGGCACAGTGACTGGCCCATCGAAGAAGCTCGGTCCTGATGCTACTGGCTGACCCCTGGCCGGTATCGCCCACCTGCTGTAGCAGGTATCGCACCTGCTGGTGGGTGCAGCTCCGACATGTTCCCTCGTTGGAGGCTTGAGCACGGATGTGGCTGCTACAGGGTTCCCCGTAATACTATAATGACAATAAAAAAGGCCTGAAAGGCCGTCCTGTCCAGATTTGACAGGTAATTGAATTGGTTGGGCTTAAAGAATTAGCCTTATATTTTTTCAAAAAATATATATATATTTTAGTTTTTTTATTTATTTATTTATTTTTATTTTTTTTATTTTTTAAATATTTTAGTCTGATTCCGTAGATGATCCATAATTTTGTTTTAATGCAGCAATAACTTGGGTTACCAACCTGGCGCTCAGGATTTCTCATGTTGGTCTGGATGATCCGGGCAGGTCGAGATTGGGCAAAGTCCTAGTCAAGCTTTCCGGCAGTCCCAACGCAAAAAGAAGAAGAAAAAAAGAACACTTTATCATGGAAAATTACAAAGTATTAAATTGAGGGTCACTCCAAAATCCATTGTCAAATCCGGAAAAAAACGCACACACTAAAGTATTAAATTACATCACACCCTTTAAGCCCTTTTAAGCCCCATTGAGCCCTTTTGAACCCCGTTTATAGCTTGTAGATACCCTTTGATGAGACACCACAAAATTAAAAAACAAGGCTAGATTGGGGCACATCTTAGGGAGTGGAAAATTGTCCGACTGGCAATATATGTATATATATATATATATATATGTATATATATATATATATATATATGTATATATGCAATCAAACTCGACTTATTCACACTTTTCATCCACGTGAACAGCAGAACAGCAAACTGGCGACATGCGCCCACACAGAACTCAGAGATATGGCTTCCAAGTAACAGTTCGCTTCCACTGGCTATGGCGACTGTGCGCCTCAAACAACTCAATGTTCACACTCTGGATCACCCTGGATGTCCCACGCACATCACTCTGAACACTCACACAGTACACACACACTGCACTCTATGCTACGCTATGGCAGCTATGGCTGCCGCTACCTATCGCTATGGCTACACAGCTTCACTCTCGCCCACTTCGTCTTCGGGCCTCCTGCAGACCTCCTTGCACAAGACGCTGAAGCAGCGCTTCCGCATGGCTTCCGCATGAATGAATGAATGGCTGGGCGCAGCCTCTTGATTTATACTTCTGTGATGCGTTGGTCTGCCCTGTAGCCCCTGGCCCATGGTGCACATAGTCCCAGACGGTACTTGCTTGACTGGACCGGACTGGGTAGACTGGGACTGCTGACTGTACGAGGTGGACTACCACCACTTGACCACTTACCTCTGTCTTACATAGGCCGACTCCGAAAGGCCACTTCTAGAAACCTCTGTCTTGGCCTTTCGGTACTGTAGCAGCTACGTCTTTGCCCTTCGGGTAAGTAGCAGCTACGACCTTGACCCTTCAGACAATCTACAGGTACGACCTCTGGAATGTTTAGACTCCTACCCAACAGGTCTACAGTTCGAATCCTTTCTACCCTGTGACCTACGAAATCCTACCTACCACTGGCGGTCCTACAGGTCGCAGGTTCAATTCTACGGGTTGACACAGATATTGTACACAGGAAAGGTGGGGATCTAGGGATCGAGCCCTGGGATCTGCATCAGCTACTGCAAACCCGTGAATACTGTTTCACTCCCGCCGGCCTAAATTCGAGGTCCTCCGAGAAAATTTCAGTCCAAGGCAGGACCTTTACCTTTCCTATCTCGTTCGTAGGCGCGAACTATGTCGGGATCCGTCTCTAGAAGTTTAGTTATAGTAAACCACCGGTCGTCTTCTGGTTCTTGATATGAAGATCCGACTTTATACTGTTTCTGAGGACGACCTCTACCTTCTGTTCTGAACACATCTTCACCTACGATGCCGTCAATGTCGTATCTCCCGTCCATGTCAGGTGGGATCATAGATCGCCTAGATGGGAACTGATCACTTACGGTGCACGGCAACAACTTTGACGCGTGGAAAACTGGGTAGGCGTGGAGGTGTAGGGGCAGTTCAATGGTGTAGGATGGGCCATCTTCGCCACCCTACGGTCCTCTGTAGGTGGGCAGTAACTTTTGCGAGATGTTCTCCTCAGGTGCAAACTCTTTAGAACTGACCCAGACTAAGTCGCCTACTTGGAACTGTGAGGGGCGACGATGTTTGTTGGCTTGCTCTATCATTCGGTGCTGGGCTTTCCTGAGGTTCTCTACAACAGTAGCTAGTTCTTTCTCGTGCTGTACAACAAACTTGGTTCCGGGCGGTAATCTGTGAATCTGATCCCGGTTGAGTCCCTCAAATAGTCTGCGCGGTCTAAAGGACTTGTGCAGTTCATTAGGAGTGCGGCACGTGGACAGATGCACACTATTATTATACGCACTAGCTACTTTAAGCAACATCTCATCCCAGCTAATTTGATCTGGCCTAATGTACATGCGCAAAATTTGTTGTAGGATCTTGTTCATCTGCTCGGTCTGACCGTTAGTCTCAGGATGGCGGCCAGACGACGTCAACAACTTAGATCCATACACTCCCATGAGTTCTTGCCAGTTCTGGCTGGTGAAGCGACTATCTCTATCGCTAACTATTGACAGTGGGATTCCATTCTCACTAACCCAGCAGTCAAAAAAATTCTGTATCACTAAATTTGTATGTGCCTCCGACGGCAAGGGAACAAAAACTGCATATTTGCTAAAACGGTCAACTATGACCATGACTTGGCTCTTACCATGCCTACTCTTGACTTGGGTGTCCATAAAGTCGATGGACACTGAGTCTCCCGGCTGATCTGGAATGGGCAAGGGTCTGAGAAGACTTTGCGGGGCGCGCGTCCTGGTCTTATTACGCTGGCAAACTTTACAACTGCGGACATACTCTACGCAGTCATTCTTCATCCCTGGCCAGGTGTATGCGCGCATCAGATTGGCTAAAGTCTTTTGCCAACCAAAATGACCCTCTGTGTCGTGGCATTCTCCCAAAATTAGACTACGAATCTCTTCACTACTGGGAATGCACAGGCGGTCAAATACATCAGTCTTCTCAAAGAGCAACCCTTCAGTAGTGCGGTAGTTTGGCTCAGTCTCTGGGGCCCCCTTGACCCTCTTGAGGTGGTCACTATAGATAGGGTCCTGCGCATAGGCTTTTCTAATCTTCTGTTGCAGATCCTTCCCTACGTCTAGGTAATGCACTATTGCCCCAAAGTAATCAACTCTCCTACTCAGAGCATCCGCAACTACGTTATACTTTCCCTTGACTGGCTTGAGCTCAAAGTCATATTGATCTATCTCTGCGGCCCACCTAGTAAGCTTAGGTGTCATCTTGGCCTGCGTCTTTAACCATCTCGGCGTCTCATGATCGGAATAGACTTTGAAGTGTCTCCCAAGCAAGAAGTGCTTCCAGTGCTCTAAGGTTTGCCTGAGAGCGTAGAGTTCCCTCTCATAGGTAGATGTCGCGACCTTCTCTAAAGGCATTCTGGCGGACATGAACTCTACGGGCCTATAACCATGACCATCGTCTTGCTGCAACACAACACGTATAACGTACTGACTAGCGTCCGTAGTGACGACAAAGGGCAAGGACAGATCGTCTACCTTAAGGACTGGATATCCTATCAACGCCTGTTTCAACTTCTTCATGGCAGACATGAAGTCCTTATCCCACTTCCAGATGGTCTCCTTCCTGAGCAATCTGCGAAGGGGCACAGCGATGGTGGAGAAGTTCCTCACGAACTTCCTATAGTAGTTTGCTAGGCCTAAGAACGACCGCAACTCTGTCAACGTACGCGGTGTCGGCCAATCTCTAATCGCTGCAATCTTGCTATCTTCAGGCTTGATGTTGTCTCCGTCTAAGACATGGCCTAAATACAAAACTTGGGTCTTTGCCCATTCGCACTTCTTTGCGTTGATCTTGAAGTTCGCTTCCCTCAGCTTCTCCAAGACCTGCCTGAGATGACCCTGATGCTCTTCGAGGGTCCTACTAAACACTAAAATACCATCTAGGTATACTACAACAAATTTATCCAACCATGGCCGAAACAAATCGTTCATACAACGCTGGAACGTTGTTGGCGCATAAGTCAATCCAAAGGGCATCACTATGAACTCATAGTGCCCGTACCTAGTCTGGAAAGCTGTCTTATACTTGTCATCAGGATGAACCTCTATTTGATGGTATCCGGACTTCAAGTCTATCTTTGAAAAATACTAACACCCCTGCACCCTATCTAGGAGATCATGTATCCTAGGCAGTGGCTCAGCATTCTTCACTGTGATAGCATTCAGACCCCTGTAGTCTATACACATCCTTAGCTCTCCCTCCTTCTTGGGGACAAAGAGAACAGGTGCTTCAAAAGGAGACGAATTGGGCCTAATCCAACCCTTTTCAAGGAACTCGTCCAATTGCTTGCGAAGTTCCTCCAACTCCCGCAGGGAGATCCTATACACTGGGCCCTTAGGAGTCCTACTGCCAGGTTCTATCTCAATACGGTGCTGGATGGGCCATGACACTGTTCCTGTTGGCGGCTCAGCTAAGTCCTTAAACTCCTCCAGCAATTTGGCAATAGCAGGGTCTGTGGGTTTTTCTTCCTTAGGCTCAGTGATTGGCCTAACACAGGCCACAAAAACCTGTTCCGCCAGCTGCTCCTTTTTCACCAGTCGTGCAAATGCAGGAGCACTAAGGCAGCAATGTGCCAAGGAGTTATCTACTCCTGACACATGGCACATGGTACAGACGCGTAGTCTTGACGTCGCCTGACGAGCTAGGGAGCCTACACTCATGCTCTCTCAAGTGGAGTGTGGCCCCGACTGCCTCTCCCCAGTCCATACCCAGGACTATATCGAACGGGAGGCTATCCTCTACGAGGAGAGTCAGGGAATGGAGGACTTTCTTTACCTTCCCATCCTTCTCTAGGCGGAAATACGCCTGGACTCCCTCGACGTAGTCTTCTACTCGCATCGTGCGATTATCTGCAAGGATACTGACTACAGGGTCTGGTAACTTTTGGATTTTCAACTGCAACTTCAACTTCTGTAGCGCCTTCCTACTGATATAACTACGAGTGGCTCCACTATCCACTAAGGCGCCAACTCTACCTCTAAAAATTTCGGTATCCACTAAAATAAGCTGCCCCTTATTCTCCTTTCTCATCTTGGCCCAGGCGGGCATCCTCTCCTTCAACTCTTCGGCCACGTCTGTTAGGGATGTGTCTAGAGAGACTCTAACACAAGTAGTCTCTAGATAGCTATCTAGACACATGCCTGCAACCTCTGCCATAGGCACATGTGGTGTGGGAGTCTCCTGCCGGCTAGCGCTATGTTCCCCACATGGCCTAATGGTACGGGCAGTTGCTACCCCTACCGGCGGCTGCCTTTTGGCCCTGGGGCAGCCGTTCGGGTCTCTCTATACTTAGGACAATATTTGATGATATGGCCCGGGTCACCGCAGAAAATGCACTGGCCCCGGTCCAATCGCTGTTGCCATAAACTCTGGTCCAGACCCAAAGTTTCCTAAGTCATACCCTGTGGTAGCCCTGGGTGCCATCCTCCTACCCTATAGGGAGACCTGTTCCTAGGACGGTGTCGGGACTGGTGAGTCCCGAATGACTTCCCGCCACTCGAGAGACTGTATATGACCAATTTGTGCACGACAGAGAAAACCGGAGGCAGGTATGCTGGAAAGAGCGGAAGCATGGGCATGGACAGTAGGAAGCCAGAGGCCGCCCAGAGTCGTCGGGGCCGCCAGACTAGAAATGGGTTGGCTAAGCAGAAAGCGGCAAAGGGACTGTGAGAGAACAACAGGGGCGACTCCTTCCCCAAGGACGGAGAAGGACCGTTGGGAAGTCGGTAGCAACATAGGAGGTGCGTAGCAAGGGAAAGGAAGGAAGTGGGAAGGGGCAGGGCGCAAGGCACTGACGCGACGTGGCGGCAGGAGGGCCAAGGGGACCGCAGGGTAGGAGGGAGCCGGCACCCGGAAACGGAATAGCATGCGGGACGGAATAGGAGCAGGGAGCAGAGATCGCTGTAAGGCGGAAGGACGTCCGGAGTATCAAGGGAAGACGTGGTACAGGTGGACCAAAGTGCCAGAGACCACGTGGGCCTAGACAAGATGGCGGCACCGGCGAGACCACTAGTAGGGAGGGTATCAATAGGATAAAGCGTCAAGAGCCGCGGACGGGGGCGAAGGTCGGAGCCACCGACGGGGTAGCCCAAGAGAGGGACGCGCGAGAGCGGGTGGTCACCCAGGGTGACGCTGGACGAAGGGGGGGGGCTAAGAGCAATAAGAAAAGGAGGAGAAGTCAGACGCTGACAAAAGTTGTCGACGGGAAAAACGTAGGACACCTGGAGCTACCCAGGGGGATCCTGGATCAGACGCAACGACAACAAAAATAAAATAACCTGACACCAGGCGGACGAAACCGTCCGGGCCAGGGAGCCCGGATGAAAGCGCTAATTATCACCACGGCAAGCGTCGGCGAGAGGTGCCGAGGGGAAGAAAAGAGGGAACAACAGCAGTAAGAGGAGCCGGCCAGCGGTCCGAGTATCCCGGATCAGCCAGGCCAAGAAAAACGAAGTTCCAAGGGCTCCACGTGGAAAAAGGACTGTCCGGAGAAAATCGGAGCAAGGGGGGTCTTAAACTGAAAGCGGCGACAGCAAAAAGGAGCCCCCTTTGGCCTTGGGGGTGTCACTACTGCAGTCCGGGGTGCAACGGCCATGTGGCGGCTACAAAAACAGACCTTGGGTAAAGTCCAACAGCCAGAAGGAAGAGAAATAGCTGTTGGACACTTGTCCCTACAACAATGAAAGAAAGAGGGAGAGAAAAAAAGAGAAAAGGGAGGGAGAATGAGACAAAGGAGGAGGAATGAGTGGGGCAAAAAGTGCCGCCAGGATGGGACTGCAGCAGTAGGGATGGGCAGGTCCCAATGATGACCTCATCCCTCCTAGATCCTAGGAGTGCAGTCCGGATTGTAGAGATAAGACCCTTGGGGCATTATCTCTGCAATATCTGAATTAAAGCAACAAAAATAAGGGAAAATGCTGATGTGAGTTGACCGGCTCATTTTTGGGCCTTAGATCTGAAATCTGATCCCATGGTAGAGGAGATCTAGCCGTTTTTTGTGGGCTGATGCAAAACGGCTAGCTCTAGAATGAGTTGGCAGCAAAATGGAGGGAAAACAAAGAGGCGAGCACGACAAAACTGCGAATTTGGCCCAAGGTTTGTGCCAGGTACATCAAAAAAATTAAAAATTGGGGCAAAGGAGTCAAATTTGGAGCAAGAGGAACTTGGAGTAACTCGGATTGATGAGAACCATAAATCTCAGCCAAATCTAAGGCTGAGATCTGTGCCGCCACTTGGGAAAATGCAACGGCCTACTCACAAGAGGCTTAGACTAGGAAAAAACGAAAAACGGACCTCTAGGCCCTCAAATTTTGGTAAAGGCTGCATTTTGGGGTAGTGGTACCCAAAAGGCAACACTTTTTGGAAAGAAAAGAGGCCGGGGTAGGCCAAGGGGTAGTCCGAGAGGGTACCAGCCTCTCGGACTGCATGTACCTGGCCAAAATGAGGCCCAGGTACCTCCAGGTAGGCCAAAACTGGAAATTTGCCCCTTGGGGTACCTCGCTCCACCTAGAGGCACTTGGAGGGGCCTAGAGGTTGGGCGGTGCACCTGTTCCAGCCTATATAAGCAGGAGGTGTAGACCGCAACTCTCATTTGAGCATGAGAGGTGCCCATGCTGCCCAAATGAGTCCGTGAGTGAGTACTAGTGAGATAGAGCAAGGAAGTGAGAGGCGGAGCTAGCCTGTAGCCTGACTATGGTGGTAAGGGTGAGAAAGGTGACCTAGAGACTAGGAGGAAGCAAAGAGAGTGGTCCGCAATAGCCCTCAGGTTGTGGAGTAGGAGGAGAGGCTAAAAGGGGTCCCCATAGCCCTTCTAGAGGGAAGGACTCCACAACCTTAGAAGTAGGCACTTCCCATAGCCAAAGGAAAGGTGTGAGGGAAGGAGGAGAGAGTTTGGGAGAGAGGAAAAACCGTACTCAGGAGGCTAGGACCAAGCATTGGGACTTCACTGCCTAGAGATCAGCAAGAGGTGAGTGAAGGAGGAAGAAGGCCTCCTTCTTCTTCCTCTTCTTCTTCTTCTTCTTCTTCTTCTTCTTCTTCTTCTTATTATTATTATTAATATTATTTTTCTCCTTCTTCGTCTTCTTCCTCCTCTTCTCCTTCTTCTCTCTTTCTTCTTTCTTCCCCTTCTTCCCCTTCTTCCCCTTCTTCTTCTTCTTCTTCTTCCTCTTCTTCTCCCTTTCTTCTCTTTCTCCCTCTCCTCCTCCTCCCCCTCCTCCCTCTTGTCAAAACAACGATTTTCACTGATTTGGGTGCTTCGGCAAGTTACGATTCACCTTATGAAAGTTCCGTGATGTTTCCCCTTTATAGATTGCTTCAAACTTTGAGTTTTCACTGATTGGGGGGCTTGGGTGAGTTGCGATTCACCTTG